TTCTATAACCGCTAAATTCACGCTTGCATTGCGTGGCATCGTATTTGCCTTTATTTATATTGCTCCTCGCTGCTTATTAGCTTATTTCATTTAATTTAGCTTGAAAACAAATTAGTTTTGCCCATTTTTGCATATATTCATACAAACCCATCTTTGATCAAATAGACAAACGCGCTTTTACCGCTAAGGAGCATCATATTTCTAAGTTAATTCTAAAATTGTTTCAATCGTTTTATAATATCAATTCCAGCCATTATCGGCGCATCGGACAAGCAACAGTCGACTCGCGTGACGTCACCCTTTGTCTACGTGTATGCAGCTACCTGTGCTCTTCACTCTAGTGACAAATCGTGCGTCTGCGGATAGTCGCGCGACGCTGCGGCTGACTACGAAGCGAGGAGCGTATCGTATGCAATTTTAACCTACATTCAACTTTAATACATTTATTAGTTTTTTATTTATTTCATCGCAATGTCTACAGAAACCGAAGCTAGAGAACTTAAGGTTCTCAATATTAAACGTAGCAATATAAAAGGACGTTTAACTAAATTTAAGAACTTTATCGATAATTTAAAAACTTTAGAATCTATTTCAGACGTAGAATTAACTGAGCTTGCGATGAAATTATCTAGAATTGAAGCTTTGTTTATCGAGTTCGAAGAGTTGCAAAACCAAATAGAATTTTTAAACATTTCAAATCAAGAAATAGAATTGACTACTCGCGATATTTTTGAGCAAGACTTCGATCACTACATTTCTCTTGCTCAGAATATAATTAAAACGTATTCAACTTCCAAGTCAGCTAATTGTGAAATTCATTCAAGTTCTTCAAACCATTCTAATAATTCCTGCCAACATAGTGATAATTATGAAACGCTTGGGTTTAAATTGCCTATAATAAAAATACCCAGTTTCGATGGAACATATTTCAAGTGGTTGGAATTTAAAGAAACATTTAGTTCTTTAGTTCATGAAAATTCTAAAATTAAAAATATTCACAAATTTCACTATCTTAATTCTTACTTGGAAGGTGAAGCCGCCCGTGTCATTAGTAATTTAGAAGTTTCAGATCAAAATTATTCACAAGCCTGGCAACTCTTATGTGAACGCTTTGATAACAAAAGACAATTGATCAACAATCATTTAAAATCACTTTTTAATTTTGAATACGTCCGCGAGACTGACAAGTCACTCCGTTTCATCACTGATCACATTACTAAAAACTTGCGCGCCCTCAGTACACTGGGTCTGCCTACTGACAAGTGGGACGTTTTAATAATTTATGTAATCACAGCAAAGTTAGACAGCGCCACATCCTTTAAATGGGAGGAACATAGGAATAGTTTGTGCGATAAACCTACACTTAGTGACTTCTTTACATTCCTAAGAAAACGTGCTGATATTTTAGAGATTGTCCACCGCAATAAACAAGAAAAACAAAATAAAATTAAATATACAAATTCTACTGCACCTTACAATAAGATGCAAACTAAGTCTTTTGTAGTTACTTCTAAATATGCTGTTTCTAATTCTAATAAAACCTTCGAGTGTGCCCATTGTAAGGGTAACCATCGCCTATACGAATGTTATTCATTTAAGGCCAAGTCACCAGAAGATAGGAACTCAATAGTAGCATCATTGAAATTATGTAAAAATTGTTTAAGGTCAGGTCATGTTGCTGACAACTGCAAGCTTCCAGGTTCTTGTCGATCTTGTAAAAAACGTCATAATTCACTTTTACATATTATTAAAGAATGTGAAAATTCTAGCAATAGCGTTCCGCCTGATCAATCGGTAGTAATGTCCGTCTTGTCTTCTACTGAAGTGTTGTTGTGTACAGCCAAGGTTTTAGTATCTAATCCCATAACTAAAAAATCTATTACAGTGCGAGCTTTACTTGACTGCGGGAGTCAGTCTTCTTTTATAACCGAGTCGGTCCAACAAATATTAAACTTGACGCCTCAGCCTTCAAACGTTAATATACTTGGTATTGGTAATGCTCAAGTTAACCTAAATACGAAAAGATGCATTTTACGATTACAATCTAATAATAGTTCTTTCAACGTAACAATGAGTTGTTTAGTTCTACCTATAATATCCAGCAATTTGCCAAAGATATCTTTTGATTACAAAGACATAAATTTACCTAAACTTGAATTAGCGGATCCTAGTTTTAACGAACCATCCCCTATTGATATGCTCATTGGCGCTGACTTATTCTGGGACCTAATAGGCTCAGAGCAGCGCCGTCTAGGGGACCAAACCAAAACCCCTAACCTACGTAGCTCTAAACTTGGTTGGCTCGTTGCTGGCCCCCTACCTAATTTACCTAAAAATTCTATAACAAATAATTTATCAATATGTAATTTCTGTCTAAAGGATGATAATTTTCCTAATAATTTATCTATAGATCAACATGAAAACTATAATTTTGAAGAGGCCTTGTCAAGATTTTCGGAATTAGAATGTTTTCCGCACAACAAGCCCTTAACACAAGAGGAAAAACTATGCGAACAGCATTTCCTTTCCACTACTACGCGTTTAAGTGACGGTCGATTTTGCGTCAGTTTACCACTCCGTGATGACCGAGACTGTTTAGGTGATTCTTATCAACTAGCCAAAAAACGGTTTTTAAATTTAGAAGCGCGGTTTAAAAGGCAACCAGAGCTTAAAAAGGCCTATTCTGATTTCATACGCGAGTATGCCGAGCTTGGTCACTTAAATGAATCTAAAATACCTAAACCTATTAATTCATTCTTTCTTCCCCATCATCCTGTAATCAGAGAAAAGAGCGAGTCAACTAAATTACGTGTCGTGTTCGATGCATCGGCTCGTTCTACGTCAGGTTTATCAGTGAATGACTTACAAATGATAGGGCCTACAATACAAGATTCTCTTTTTAATATTTTAATTCGCTTCCGCCAATATAAATATATATTATCGGGCGATATAGAAAAGATGTATCGTCAGGTTAGCTTAAGAGAGTCAGATCGTGACCTACAACTTATTCTATGGCGGGAAAACGAAAATGACCCTTTACGTACTTTACGTTTAAATACGGTGACATACGGTTTTTCCAGTGCGAGTTTCTTAAGTACTAGATGCATCTGGCAGTTGGGCGAGGAATGTGACGACGACAAAACTAAAAATACAATACAACAGGATTTTACTGTGACGATTTGCTTACAGGCTCTGATTCCATCGCGGAGCTTCGTCACATTCAGCGTGCTGTGTCAGATGAGCCAACAAAAGGTTGTTTTCATCTAAGAAAATACCGTTCTAACGTTCCCGAGTTGTTTATGTCCGATTCGATAAATCCAGAAGAAGGTAACTTAATTATCAGTAATTCTACAAGCACTCTGGGTATCGGCTGGTCTCCTTCTTCAGATGAATTAAATTTTCAAGTTAATTTTTCCCCGCCTGAGAACATTACTAAAAGATCAATTTTATCTACTACATTTAAAATATTTGACCCTCTTGGATTGCTATCCCTATGTACAATAAAACCAAAAATTCTTATTCAAAAACTATGGCTTCTTAAAATAGGCTGGGATGACGAGATCCCTCAAGATATTCTTGCCACTTGGCTTAAATTTTCTAACCAACTGCACTATATTTCATCTCTCAAACTACCAAGACTAGTTTTAATCCAAAATTCTAAAATAGTTGAAATGCATTGTTTTTGCGATGCTTCTCAGCAAGCCTACGGAGCCTGTATTTATATTAAGTCTATTGACTCAAATAATAAAGTTCAAGTTAATTTAATAACCGCCAAGGCACGAGTTTCCCCCTTAAAGGCGACTACAATTCCAAGATTAGAACTATGTGCTGCGTTGCTCGGAGCACAACTCAGCAATTCAGTTACTAAGGCCTTGCGTCGTTCTGTCGATCGACATATATACTGGACGGACTCAAGCGTGGTCTTAGGCTGGCTAAGGTCACCCAACAAAACTAAAACTTTCGTTGCCAACAGAGTTGCTGCTATAGGAAAACTTACTCAATTGTCTCAATGGCGTCACGTTCCTACCACCGAAAATCCCGCTGATCTCGCGTCTCGAGGTATAGATCCACGAAATATAGTAAGTTGTCATCTTTGGTGGCATGGCCCTTCCTTTCTTTTGCAACCCAATTATTTATGGCCACAAGAAATTTCACCCGTTTTCGAATTGCCAGAGTTGAAGACGGTTTCTACTTTGTCAGCGGAAATAATAACGACATCTCCTGTGATAGATTTTAAAAGATTTTCTAAATTTCGTACCTTACAACGAACTTATGCAAGAGTTATTAGATTTTTACACAACTGCCGTAATCCTAACAATAAACTAACTGGCTGTCTGGACGTGGATGAACTCAATAAATCCCTACAGTTCATTATCACCCAAGCTCAGAACGAATCCTTTTCTAATGAAATTATTAGGTTAAAGTCTAAAAAATCTCTTTCAACAAAGTCATCTCTCTCTTCCTTAATCATTCTCATAGTCTCGCGTCCGCGCGCGTATCGAGAGGGTGTGTCATAGTTTTAAACAATGTCCTCCAATGTGGTGAAATGTGTAAATTGCAATGTTGTCATTAATGAGCTCCTTGCTTTCGTGAACAACAAGATCGCGGTAATGGATGACGAAAGTATAATCAAGATCTGTACTAGTTCTTTCGCTGAGGAAGATATAGTGATTGCAAAGAATCTACTATTCGATTCATTACCTAAAAGAAGACGTAAGATAATTCGCAAAAAAAGTGGCAAATCTCTTAGAAATATAGACGATATAGTGTGTCTTCTACGTGATACCGACCCCGAGGATATTCCGGTGTTCGTCGCAAGGGACCTGGAGAAATTACCTCCTGTCTTATTTGATCACGTCGACGTCACTAGACTTTTAAAAGATATTGTGAAGATGCAACAGGATATAAATGCTATTAAACAGGGGTATGTGACCATGGAACACTTAAAGCAATTTAAATCTGAGATTGAAATACATAAATCTTGTGTTCAAAATAGTGACGATCGTAATCGTAATGTGAATATGAAAAGGGGCACGGGTTGTTTACTTGACAGTTTTGAACGCCACAGTGGACCTATGGGATTGCCCCCCGTCCCGAGAGCCGACAATGAACAACATGAATTATATTTACGAAATACAAACTATTGTGATATTGGTCATGAAATTTTTTCATGTGAGGGTAGTCACAACTCGCCGCATCTCGATTTTTGTAAACAGAACGACGTCGCGGCGGCGACAGCGATGACTCACATAAACGAGTCGAGTGAGCGGCCGCCGCCGCCTATTGTATCTGTAAGCGATAACCCGAGACACACTGCCGCATCGCGCAGCGAACATTGCAATGCTCAGAAAATAAAATCGGCAGCTGACGTCGTTAAAGAAGGCGAATGGAAGCAGCAGATACATGGCGATGATTGGATAAAAGTTCAAAGAAAAAGATTACGTAATTGTTTTATGGGAAAGACAGGAAGAGCAACTATACAACCTGGAAATAATTTCAAAGCGGCGGAAATA